CAATAGCAATAGCAATAGCAATAGCAGTTAGACTTATATACCGCTTCATAGGGCTTTCAGCCCTCTCTAAGCGGTTTACAGAGTCAGCACATTGCCCCCACAGTCTGGGTCCTCATTTCACCCTCTTCGGAAGGATGGAAGGCTGAGTCAACCCTGAGCCGGTGAGATTTGAACCGCTGACCTGCTGATCTAGCAGTCAGCTGAAGTGGCTGCAGGAGAGCACTCTAACCACTGCGCCACCTCGAACATCATGACTTCAAAATCTAAGAGACTGGTTTGGACAAAACTCAGCAGCACTTTTTTGTGCGGCTGTTGACAAAAATAGAATTGCCAACAAGACGGATATGGCACAAGATGACAGATATGGCATAAGAAGGAAAAGAATTATATACCATATTACATGGCATATGTGCATACCTTAAATATGTATTTAAAGTACCTTCCTTCTATGACACTGATAATTTGAGCTACCCTTAATTTAGGGAAGGCAGGGAGGATGTAGCAATCAGATCCACATGTTTTTACTTGATTTTCAGAACTGATCGTTACAATCCCCCGCCCGCCCCAATTCAGTCGGGCGTTAGACTTTGATGCCTATTGCTTTCAGGAATACAGGTAGTCCTTGACTTATGATAATTTGTTTAGCGATCATTCAAAGTTAATGATACCGAAAGAGTGACTTATGACCTTTTTCACACTTACAACCATTACAACACCCCCATGGTCACATGATCACAATTCAAATTCTTGGCCACTGACTCATATGTATGATGTTTGCAGTGCGCCAGGATCATGTGACCTTCTGACAAGCCAAGTCAATGGGGAAGCCAGATTCCCTGAACAACCGTGGGACTATCTTAACAATTGCAGTGACTCACTTAGAAACTATGGCAAGAAAGGTTATAAAATGGGACAAAATTCACTTCACAAATGTCTCACTTAGCAATAGAAATTTTGGGTTTAATTGTGCTCATAAGTCAAGGACTACCTGTATGTAAATACTGTTTTTATGTAGTGAATCCTGAATACACCCAAAATTTTGGAATACAAGACAATGTTAACTCAGTATGAGAAATACAGAAAATACAGCATGCATATTTGAAAATAATATATTTTAATTAATGTAACTATATACAGTTGAAATATCTAACTCAAGATAATAATACTTTTCACAGGTGATTCGATGCCATTGTATTCGAGCTGGCGACTTAAAGTGATGGAACACAATGAAGGAGAGCCATTACCTTTTCCACCTTCAGGGGGTTGTTGGTCACCATTGGTGGATTATTTGCCCGAAACATCATCTCCTGGCATGTCTCTTCATAGGTAAGCAATATAAATAAGATGCTCCCAAATCCCTCTGAATATAAAGTACCTAAAAGAGATTGTAGCACAGTACTTTCCTTTCAGGAAAAGAAAGGAAGAAATTAAGAGGTTGTGTCTTTCTTCTAAGAAATGTATAAGATTTGTGGGGAAATGACTCATCCTGCTTCCAGATTATCCTTGTTTTTTGAGAATGGAATCTTCACAGTTTATATTTCAAGACAGAAGCTTTTAAAAAAAAATTGTTTTGGTAACTTGTATAGAAGGAATCTTTCCACAAGACTCTTATTGTTTTTCTGGCCTTTTATTAGCTGATCTAAGCTGTATAAGATAGGGATGCGGTGGCTCAGTGGCTAAGATGCTGAGCTTGTCGATTGAAAGTTCAGCAGTTCGAATTCCTAGTGCCCCATAAGAGAGTGAGCTCCCGTTACTTGTCCCAGCTTCTGCCAACCTAGCAGTTCGAAAGCACGTAAAAAATACAAGTAGAAAAATAGGAACCACCTTTGGTAGGAAGGTAACAGTGTTCCGTGCGCCTTCGGCATTTAGTCATGCTGGCCACATGACCATGGAGACATCTTCAGACAGCGCTGGTTTACCAGCTTTGAAATAGAGATGAGCACCGCCCCCTAGAGTCGGGAAGGACTTGCACATATGTGCGAGGGGAACCTTTACCTTTAAACTATATAAACATTGAATGTTGTGCCTCCTGGCTCTCTAGATATGAATCATTTATTTCCCCTGCTTAAAGCCTTCATACTGTAGTCTCTTCATCTCAGCCATACAATGCAGGGCAGCTTTGCTTTATATTTCTTTATGCTCTGAGTTGTGCTGGCATTAAGCATCTTTACTTCTTTATTGAGACAACTAATATTTGTTTTATTATCATCTATCTATTTATTTAATAAGTGAGAAACAGATCATTGTCGTAGTTACCGTAATATATATCTTAAAATACCTAAAATCTTTTAATATTGTCAGTCTGTCCTGAGAGGACCAAATTTGTTTGAATAGTAGCAATTCTAATGTAAATAGTTACATAAATATGATGCTAATTTTTAAATTGTATTTTATAATTTCAATACATTCCGCTGACACACATACCCCATTAACTTAATTGATATCTCTTCTTTGGTTTATAGGTGTAACATAGCAGTGATTCTGTTGACTGACCTAATAATTGATCATAGTGTAAAGGTAGATTGGGGAAATTATTTGCATCTCTTGCTTCATGCCATTTTTATAGGTAAGTAAGCTTCTATTAAAATTGGGAAGCATTGTTAATTACCACATTTTATGGTCTTGCAGGTAAAATATTTAATACCAAAGGGATAATTTTATTTAAAATAAACCGAACTTGAAGAGCAAGGGTTACCCAAATTCTCCTGTGTGCTGCTCCGGGAATCCAATCATGGGTTAACTTAGCCTTCTAGCCTTGAGACTGAGTATGCAAATATCAAAGTTACGCCTCCTCTGACTGGACTTCCGTTTCCTCTTCAGTTCTTATTACTCAGTCCAAGCCTACGAGACTTATTTTCAACGCTCTCTTTTCACGCATGCGCTCTAACGCCTGGGATGAGAAGGCAGATTTTGCTCGCGCGCTTGAGTTTGCGCACTGCTTC